TGTTGAATTGTAATTTTGTGTTTCACATTATTAAAATGTAATATCAAATTTATTTGTTTTTAAATATTTTCACATTAGTATTGTCACACCTAACTTTATTGAAAGTATCATTGTCTTACTGTATAGAAGGCTTTAGTATCACACATACTGTATTAAAAGTATTTTCACTCCTTATTTTATTGAAATAGTTATCAACCCTTTTTGTTATAGAAACTGTGATTATAACATGATTTCTTGTTTATATGAGAAAAATGTATGTGTACAGTTCTTACATTTTAAAAAAGTGTTGTAAATATCATGATTCTATATGCTTTAGCATTATGTTTGGTGCTGTCCTTTTCTTTTTTCTTTTTTATGTTACTCGCATATTATTAGGAACTCTATAACCCATAAAGTCATGGACCCACAATCAGTTTGATTGATAAATAGTTTGGAAAAATGTGTTTAAAAAGCTGATGGTCAGGCTCCATCAATAATTCTAGGGTTAATGATTGGTGTAAGTAATAAATATGTTTTATTCTTTAAGTGTTGTAAACTGTGTTGCAAAGTATAAAGAAAATAAAGCTAATATTTGTATTATATTAAAGATTTGTTGTGTTTAGACATTAAAACTTTAAAAGTTTTGAAATATGTATGTGTAACCATTTTTTTTTCATGTAGTCTTTATTTCCTAATACTGTAGTTTTAACCATGGTGTGCTTAATTAGGTTTGCTTTATGTGGTAGCACAGCTGGTGCTCATTTCTGAAGAGTGAACTAATTATAATATCATGTATCTGCAGTTCATATGTACATTACAGGCTTTTATAAATTAAAATAGGGGATTAATCATTACACATACCTAGTCTATAGGAACCATTTTAATTTTTTTGACACCCTTGTCAAGTGGTGAATTTGGAGGGTTTCACTTTACGTAATATATGCTTATGTAAGTTGTTCTCAAATAAAGTTGAATAGAAGTTGACCAAATTCATATTAAAAAATTTGAAAGTCTATATGGATCAATTTTAATGATTGGAAAATAGAAGACAAAATTTCTATGTCATTAACATGATCATATTTGAATTCTGTCCATTACAGTTAACAGTATTATTTATTATCACTAGGAACTATCAAATGCAAATTTAAATAAACATACAATTTGATATTGCAGTATTATTTAAATTAGCAACTCACAGGTTAATTAATCATGCATTTTCATCCTTATTGGTTGTGGGGTATAACAACAAAAGTTAATCATCACTGTATGAAAATGTATTTTTAGTCACTAATGGGGAAATTTCTGTATCTTTTTTTAAAAAAACTGTAACTGCTGAAAGCTTGTTACTAGAAGTTTTGTGTTGCTATGACATACAATTAGTTTAACTTTTTCATTGAAAAGGAAAGTTTTAATTCTTTGGTAGTAAATAAACAGCCCTTTTGATTTTTATTAAAGATAACATTTTTGTATTAGTACTGAGATGGGCAAGGATTATAGATGTCAACAATGCATGCTAGCAGTACTGGTTAGATATATTGTAAAGAAACTGGTATTTCTTGTTTTTTTACTAATGTTTTAAAGTTGTGTTACTATGACACAAAGTGATTAACAAGTGTTCCCACAAGAGAGCATTTCCAAAGGAAAGAATATGGTGGTATTTTTAAAGTTCTTTACACTCAGTCTGTGAGTTAGGGGGAGATGTTTTGTGAGTTGATTCACAAACAAAGCTTTCTGGTGGTATGAACTCCTTAGAATATCTGGAATCTGCTTTCCCCACCAGCATAGCTGAATTTGCACTAGTTTCCAAGCTATGACAGAGTAAAACCCATATCCCAATCCAAAATCCCACACATAACATGGTAGCAGTTGCACAATATTGGGCAATACAAGATCTGGTTCCTTAGCTTTATAAAGTTGTTTTCATCTTCATTTTTTCAAGCTCTGTTGATAGAGATGGCCAAGAAAACACAATAAAGCTGACTTACCATTGTAACTGGCTAAGTGCAGCACCTGCCTGAACATGAACACTTTTAATATTTTGTGCAAGAATTACCAGAATTAGGATAGTTGACAGATTCTGTAATAACTGTGCTGTTTAATGATTACTAATCTTAATTATTATGAAATCTCCTAAACACTATTGAGAGTTTAGGTTTGGCATTAAAGGGTGGTATTTAGAGGTTAACAGTTTTAGAATACATTTGTTTGGGCTATAACTTGAATACTAGAAACCATGGGTGGTATTTTGAGGTTAACAGTTTTAGAATACATTTGTTTGGGCTATAACTTGAATACTAGAAACCATGGGTGGTATTTTGAGGTTAACAGTATTAGAGTACATTTGTTTTGGCTATAACTTGAATACTAGAAACCATGGGTGGTATTTTGAGGTTAACAGTATTAGAGTACATTTGTTTTGGCTATAACTTGAATACTTAAAACCATGGGTGGTATTTTGAGGTTAACAGTACTAGAGTACATTTATTTTGGCTATAACTTGAATACTAGAAACCATGGGTGGTATTTTGAGGTTAACAGTATTAGAGTACATTTGTTTTGGCTATAACTTGAATACTAGAAACCATGACACCCCTCTGTCACCAACTCAGTCCCCTGAATTCAGTCACTGATTCACAGACTGAGTGTTAATGAAAACAGGTTGTTTTTTTCTTTAGAGAAATAACATAATAATGAAGAAAATTTTACAGGTTAAAATATTTGTATTAAAATAGTCTGATTGAAACATCTTCCTATTATTTTTTTAAACAGATGCATTCCAAGGGATAGTATGTTTCCCCAGAACAAACCATTATACTGTCAAAATTCAGAGCGTGCAAGTTCCCGTTTTGTAATTAAATGCTGTAAAGAATATGACTTCTGTAACCGTTTCCTCTCTCCAACACTAATGCCCCCTACAACAGAAGGTAAGACAAACTTTTATTCACAGTGGTGCCTGAAGGTTTTAATTTACTTAGACGTATGTTTTTTTTAATTCCATGTATTGTAATAAAGTGAACTTTATATGTGAGTGTATATATAGTTGTCCTTTCCTTTTCTAGCCATTGAAAATATGTACAGTCTGAAATTTCATATTTTCAACTTCAAGTCAACTAACTGGTATCCAGAGCAGTGTCATAGTAGAGACTTTCTCTGGAATTACAATAAAGATTTTTAGTTACATCTCTATATAAACACATCTAAACATTCTCTAAACTTGCAAACCTGTATCTTTAGTATGAATCTGTATATAATTCTTATATAAGCTTTTGTCTGTGTCTTCCTAAAAACCTTCTATTTTAATCTACAGCTGGGAATTCTCATATGCCAATCTGTATATTTGTAACCTTGACTCCAAACACGTATGAACCATACTTATAGTGTTTTAGTTATGTTTTCCTATAAACTTGCAAGTTCAGAGATGTCTCCTAAACATTTCTTATAAATCTGTAATTTTTCATAAAGATATTTAATTGTTACTTCCTCAACTTTTCTCTTTTGTCATTGGCTTTATCTCTATTAAACTTTCTGTTGTTAGACTAACTGCACAGAACTATAATCCCTCCTTATACACCTCTAGCTATGATATACTCTAAACTTTCCTTTTATATGCTTAGCTGTGATATACTATAAACATTTTCTGTATATTTATAGCTATGATATACTGTAAGCTCTTGTTTATCTATAGCTATATTATTATTGTAAACTTGTTTGTGGATAAATAACTATACTTTCTTATGATGATTTATTTAAATCCATACCAATGTGTATCTGCAATATTGTGAAAATGTTTCTTGTAAATCTGTTCATCTGGTGTTTCTTAGCATCAAATATGCATGCAAATGTATAGATATGATTTTCTAGAAGTTATACACAAGTCTGTTTTTTTTCGTCCACCAGTAACTGTAACGTGAAACCATCCAATTTTTTAAAATAAATCAGTAGCTATGATTCTGTATATATAAATTCTATATACATAAATACACACGCACACACACACACACACAATTATAAACTTTAAGGGTAGTTTTGTACCTTTATCTGTAGCTGTAGCTCCATGTAGGCATGTATATCTTTCTGTTGACTATACCATATAGACATGCAGCAGTAGATCCCCATAAACTTTTGATGTAGGTGTATAATTATAATGAGCAATGGTGTTTAGATACTGTTCATTCAGATGTATACCTATGGCTCCTTCTAAACTATATGGTTATAGCTGTGATTTCTTATGTACTGACTGTACATTTACATGGCTGTGACTTTTTATAAACTATCCATATAGTTGTATAGCCATGACTCCTTATATGCTGTCCATATGTTTAGCTATGATTCTTTATAAACTATCTGAACAGATCAGCTACGACACAATGTACATTTTTAACTATAATTTTCTCTATAGGTTTTATGTGTACAGCTGCAGCTATGATACTGTATTTGCCACATAGATCTGTATCTGTAACTCCCTATGTATTTTCCACATAGATCTGTAGCTGTGTTTCCCTATATACTTTCCATACAGCTCCGTGGCTGTGTTTCCCTGCACACTTTCCATGCAGCTCCGTGGCTGTGATTCCCTGCATACTTTCCATGCAGCTCCGTGTCTGTGATTCACTGCACACTTTCCATGCAGCTCCGTGGCTGTGATTCCCTGCACACTTTCCATGCAGCTCAGTGGCTGTGATTCCCTGCACACTTTCCCTGCAGCTCCGTGGCTGTGATTCCCTGCACACTTTCCCCGCAGCTCCGTGGCTGTGATTCCCCACAGCTTAGTGGCTGTGATTCCCCGCAGCTCCGTGGCTGTGATTCCATGTATATTTCTGGTGTTTGTTCCTTATCAGCTATTCATACATACAGTTAAGGCTCCAGACATATTTTCTGCATATGTAGAAATAGCTGTGGTCCCAGCTGATAGCTTTTTCAAATAGAATTAGATTTCTAGTCATGATTTGAGGCTTACTCTTCTGTGTTCTAAGCATATTTTCAGCCTGAAGGTGCCATTGTGCTGGTGTAACAGGAATTACTATATTTGAATATAACTTTCATGATTCTTCTTCTCACTCAGGTGCTTCAATCAGTCACAGATGTTTCCACCATATCACCCTCTTTGGTGTCTTTCACCACAAATGAACAGGCCAAATCTGGCATTAATCTGCTGTAGTGATAATGACTTTTGTAATGAAGTTCTGAAGCCCATCCTTCCACCTGATGATTCAACAGGTGAGAGGAGGAGAGAGAAAAACTAACTGTTGTAGATGTGATGTGTAGACTTTGTGTGGCTTGCTGGTGCTTTTTGTTTCTGTCTCTTTATTTTTTCGTTGCTTAGATTTTCTTCCTAAGAATTTTAAACTATGTGTGTACTCATTTTTAAAGTTGCAATCACAATTATGCACTTATGTATCTAGAAATGCAACTTTATGATCATTCTGATATTCAACAGTAAAGATAATACTTTTATGTTTATTGTTTTAATCATCCAAAAACTAAGGAATTTGATATAAATTCTTAAAATAGTAAACATATCATCTACTTACCTCCAGTAATATAATGATGAAAAACTGTAGACAATCATTCAAGCATTATTTTTCATGAAAAGGAAGAAAAAAGATCAGCTAAAGGATCCAATCTAGAACCTATAGCTAAACCATCAGTCTGATGTTAAAGATTATTATTGAACAGAAAGTGCAACTCTTTAGTTGTAAAATGCAGTAACTTCAAAAATGCAAATTTTGTAATGCATAACAAATTTAAATTGTCATTAAAAATTGTTTACACAGCTGGATTACTTGTTTCAAAGGAATGTTAGTATACAAAGATTCAGTATCAAAACTAGCACTATATACAAATAAATGGCACTTGTGCACAAGTAAAATAAGGCATCCCTAATAAGACTTTACATGTTTTGGAAATGATCTGCTCCACCATCATCAGGATCAAGAGTTAAAATCAGACACTGACTTGTATACATATATTACCTTCAAATTACATAAACCTACATTACACCTTTAGCACCATCTTGATCTTGAATACAACCCTTTCTGAAGAGCTTATAAAACAAATTTCCAGTGTTTCATTTCTCCCACACCTGGACCAAAATCTTTATTCAAAATAATGTTTTATTCATCTCGGCTACTACTGATTCTCTAATATGTAGTTCCCACTTAAACTCAACCTGATTTATCAATGTAGTATTTTTCCAGTCTACGAAATAAAATGTGCTTGCCACATGTTCTGCTAAAGTTAATTCATTCACTTTACATTTGTCTGTGGCATTTTAATGTTTCTTAATTTTGAATATCAGGTTTCTACACATTTGGTTAATATATATTAGATCACAGATGTAAATAAGTTTGTAAATACAACATTTATAATTTTGTTATATTTCAACTTTTATACCCATGATACAACTATTTCACATATACTGGGGGAGAGAAAGTTATCCTACAACCTATATATTTTCTTATTATGTTTTGTTGAAACACCTTAACTCATAGGGCAAGTAAATCCTCATGCCATCAACTTCACCACTTCCATGCAACTTTGTACATAGTGACCATATTTAATTTACTGCTATGCTTATTGTACAACCTATCAATAAGCCTTTTGTCTTTAGTTACATATTTTAAGGAAATAAACTCTGATCTTAAGTCACAATGTAAATACAGGTTTTCAGTGCTCTAAATACAAATGTGGAAAAGGTGGATACTTTTTGTGGCCAGGGAAGACATATTCTGGTGTGTGGTGGAATAACAACCAAAAACAGTTTTTCTACAAGGCAACATTGAGAGAAACCCCTTATCACATTTGATCGTCAGATTCAAGAAATTTAATAGAACCTCTTTTTAATTTCCAGCTAAATCTGAATAGTAGGACCAACCAAATTAAGATGTTTTTCATTTGCATTAATGTATCATTGCTATCCACCACACCAAAAATATGTTATCCACATATCCTTCTAAAATTTTAATGCACAAATCCTTATAATAGGGGAGATAAATATGACCCCATAGCTAAACCTCTAATCTACAGATGGTCTAATTTCTGAGTATTGTGTCTTAGTTCACACATTATCTTTATTTTCAATATTTTTAAAAACGAGATTCAAAACCCGAACACTTTTGAATAGTTGACTATTCTTCTTCAGGAGAATAAAGAGTTATGTTTAATGAGTGTGATGAAATATATATAGGCTCAGTTTACGTGACATCTGAGCCTATATATTTCATCACACTCCTTAAACATAACCCTTTATTATCCTGAAGAAGAATAGTCAACTATTAGAAAGCACTCGAGTTTTGGGTTTTGAAAATATTACAACTTTTGTAGGTGATCCTGTGTGCTAACTACTTAACCTGGATTTATTATCAATAGAAATCTTTTCAATTTTATTACTGTTGTGTTGGTAGGATCTAGATCAAGTCTCATAAATTAGTTGAATTACTCAAAATATTATAATCTGTATTTAAATATTTTGGTTTATGCAGAATAACTATACTATTTCCTTTATCCAGCTGCTTTAATGCTGACAAGTCTCTATAGAAAAACAAGTGAAGATTTTAATTTAGCAAGCATATAATTGAATAAGTTGTGATTATTTGAACACAAGAAACTAGTAAGCTTCTAATGACGTACCTGAATGCCCAATGTATAAAGCCTTGTCATATATTGAATGTTAAAAAACAACTACATACCCTGCTTTGTACAGTGTATCTACATGCATAATTTGAGGTATTTGTAAACCTGGATGTCCTTTGCAGTGTTTCTTAAAATAAAAAGATCATATTTCTTTATTGAAAAATACCAAATGTAGTTTATCAGTTTGTGTTCTTGTTGCAAGCAAGATTTTGTCAGTTCTATGATAACAAAACTGCTGACATGAGTAAAAAGAACATATTAAATTTGTTTGGTGTCTTAAATTTACGTTTTA